GGGGTTCGGGGTGATTTAGGGGGTGATTGACGGGTTTTGGGGTGATGCCGTAAGGTGTGAAGTTTCGGGGTTGCGCAGGTGCTGCTGCTGCTGCTGCTGTTGTTAATGTTGATGCCGATATTGCCATCATCGTTGTTGACAACGGTCTCCTTGGTGACGGTAAAAGAACGACTTAGTCGAACCCTCACCGGACCACTATCAACAAACCACGCAAGCACCTGCTTGTTGTTGATATTGCGCTTGGGGTGCTCGGCAGAGTACAGTATGGGGAATAAGCGGATGATATGTGTTGATGGGCATGCTACATGGCGATGGTGTTGCCTACTGCCTGTCTCTCGCTCTCTAAGCAACAAAGGTCTTGAGTCAACCTTCTTCCTCGTTCGGTCTCTGACGGGCTACCGATTGTTTTTCTGGTCACGGTGGGAGAATGAACGGAGCGTTTACCGTAGATAGCACACAATACATACCACATGCAGAACGCGCCCGCACGTAAGAGTTTCGTCGAGGCTGGTGTTCGAAAATCGGTCCAGGGGGTGTGTTATCTTGCGTCATGCCACCTCCACAGCACAAAACACCAAGAGAATACAGAACGCGCCCGTACGTATACAAGAACCTCTATTGTAGTTTCAGCCGAGGCTGGGGTTGTAGCTGCATTCCTAGGGTCATGCTACGAATGGTCGCAATATAGGTTTTAGTGTAGGGGTTCTCAACCGACCTCACCAATGGTGTCAAGGTCTGTTAACTTTTGAATGTTTTCGATTATATCTTTTTCAAGAACCTCTCATGTATTTTCGGCTGAAGCCGGGGTTCTTGCTGTATTCCTAGGGTCATGCCACGAATGGTCACAATATTAGGTTTTAGTGTAAGGGGTTCCTACTCGAGCAAAAAAGAAAAATGGTGCTCAAGTTCTTGAATGTTGATTTTTTTTTGTTTTTTTTCTCAAATTCTTTTTTGAGTGCGGCCGTGTTTTGTACTGTACCCCTGGACCGATTTTCACGGCTCGATTTCTCGACGACGAAGAGGATGCCCGAACCCCAAAACTGACGACTTTTCGTAAAGCCGTAGACGAGACGTGCCACCATTTTCGGCGGAATGGAGTTTGCGGAGTGTGTGTGTGTGGTGAACCAAAATCTTGCGCAACCTACCTCGACGTGTGGTATCTGATGCAGCGAACGGTCGGAGGTGTTCTCGACCCCGCGCAAAATAATCTACTCGACCGCCTTTGAGTATTGGGCGAGTCGCGTGAAGGGTGTGCTGCATCCTGCTAAGGGTTGTTTCGGGGCTTGGGGCTAGGATTACGAAGTCACCCCCTCTGTATTTCACTTATGTATGTCATGCATTTTTGCTAGCAAATCAACCAATCAACAATCAACGTCAACTCGAACTATTTAGACATGATTTAATCGATTGTTGTTGTTGTTGGTGGTGGTGGTGTTGTTTTCACATTAAACTCGTGTCAGTTGCTAATCCCAAAATCTAGCAAAGACTCGGTCCGTGGTCACAACAACGCTGGAGCCATCAGAAGATCTAAAGAACGCGCACACTATGAAGCAACAAAAGGGTACACAACAAGCCCGATGATTTCCACAAAATAAACAAAAAGGCGTTCGGCACACACCTGCTGGGGTTGGCTGTGTTCTCCTTCTGACGCGAAGCACGAGTACCGTAGTCCGCCCACGCTGCTGAAGAAGACGATGCTGCTGAAGAAGATGATGAACGGCCTCCTCCATCGTCTTGAAACGAGTCGTCGAGGATGCCTCCTCCGGCCGCCCGCCGTGCTCTCGCCGCCGCCGCCGCCGCCTCCGGCCCGGCCGTGAACTCTTCCTGCATGCGTGTGTAAAAAAGAAGGTGGGGGCATGCGGGGGGGGGGGGTACTCCTCAGGGGGTATACTCATAGTAGTGCATGCACGCCGTAATACATTGACCTCGCGTCCCTACAAAGCTGGGGCAGAGCGACACGCCGGGGTTCTCACCGGAACCGGCCCTCACATAACCAAGCGCGAAGTGCGGTGTGGCGGGGCAGAGAGGGGCTTGTTTGAAGGAGCAGGACGCCTATTGAGCATCCCCCCCCCCCAACATTTCTCCCGAGTCCCCAGATCATGGTCTGCATAGAATTGTTGCGCATGTTTGGCCTCACTCAAGACTGACGTACTTTCATCGGCCAGACGGTTGAAACGGCCAATGCGAATGCTACAATGCCAACAGCAACAACAGCAACAACCAACAAAACAACAACAACAACAACAACAACAACAGCAACAACCAACAAAACAACAACAACAACAACAACAACAACAACAACAACAACCAACAAAACAACAACAACAGCAACAACCAACAAAACAACAACAACAACAACAACAACAACAACAGCAACAACAGCAACAACCAACAAAACAACAACAACAACAACAACAACAACAACAACAACAACCAACAAAACAACAACAACAACAACAACAACAACAACAATCCCGTGCACTTGTGCTCGTGTTTTTGCTGTTAGCATCGACCGTGCTAGCCGTCTGACCAATGAAAATACGTCCGTCTCGGTGCGTTGTGCGTGGACGTGCGAGAACAAGCAGAAGAAAAAATAAACAGCACTTACACGAAACTCAACGAAAACGGCGAATCCAAGCCGCAATGAGACCGACGTATTGTCATTGGTCAGCCGGTTAGCGCCGTCGATGCTAAGAAATAAAAAGGGATACTTAGCGCACACACACACAAAAAAAAGCTAACGTACTCCCACGACAAGATAAACCTAAGTCGCCATGAGACTGGCAGTTTTCATTGGTCAGCGAGTTAGCGCGATCGATGCAAACAACAAAACAGCCAACGTACCCCCACGAAAACGGCGAATCCAACTCGCAACGAGACTGGCTAGTTTTCATTGGTCAGCCGGGTAGCGTGATCGATGCTAACAACAAATATAATAGTGATACTTCACGCACACACACAAAAAAAAAAAAGTACTTCCACGAAAACGGCGAATCCAAGCCGCAACGAGACTCGCAAATTTTGAATTTCATTGGTCAGCGGGTACTGTAGCGGGCTCGATGCGAATAACAAATAGGGATACATAACACACACAAAAAAAAAACTACCGAGCTTATGCACCTCCACGAAAAGGGTGAACCCCAGCCTTATTTGACTGACGAATTTTCATTGGTCAGCCGGGTAGCGCGATCGATGCTGATAACAAACAGGGATACTTAACACACAAAAAAAAAAACAGCATACGTACCTCCACGAAAACGGCGAATCCAAGCCGAGCAGAAGACGCGTTACTACTGGCGCCCCTCCCTCCCCGACTCCCCCTGCCGCCGCCCCCGCCCCCGGTGTCGGCAGAAGGCCTCTGTCCCAGCCGCCGCCCCCCCCTGCGGGACGCGGATGCCCCCGTAACGGCCCCTCGATTCTCATCGTTCGGGCCTCCTCGCGCTGCCGCCGCCGCGGCCTGCATGCCGACAAGCCAAGACAAAAAAGGGAAATAAAGGCACAGACCGGTTTGGTGTGTTGCTCATGTTATGGGTGTGGAGTGAAAGCAAGTGTGGCTCGATTTCGGCAGTGGTGCAGTGTGCGGTCACAGTGCAGATAGACCACCTGCATGTACTCAAAGTAAGGCAGTTCATCATTCGCAGGCTTGGTCCACCACCAGTGCCGGGGGGAGGAGGCAACCCCCTCCCGAACCCCCCCCGTCGCCCGCGCGTGGTTTGCTTCGTTCACCACACGCGTGGTGTGCTTGGTCCAAAATATATTTATTCAAAAACGCTCGGTTTAAACACAAAGTGTTTGATCAGCGCGGACAAATGAAGGTACTGGGTAGAGAGATCGGAACGGTTTTAATGTGAAGAAAACAACACCAACACCAACACCAACAACAACAGCAACTACCCTTGAGTTCTCTCGTGTACATTGTAAACTTACTTTGCTACATAAGATAAACTCGATCGACGCTTTCGGTATTTTTAAATCCCATAAAAGGAGGGAGAGAACGAGCAAGTCGTCGATGTGGACCGCGCCCAGAAGTGACCTCGATTGCACCCGTCGGTACTACAAGTATAGCCGATTCACTCGTAAGCGAGTGAGCGCGGCCGATGCTAATAAACGTTGACATGGCCCACACACCGCAGGAGGAAGGTGGGGCATCAAAACAAACATAAAAGAAGAAAAAAGCCCAAGCGTTTACCCCCCCCCTGTGTGACCCTGGATGGTTGTAGTTGTACGAAAAATTTGTAAGTACTGAAAGAGTGTAGTGCTCTACATACACTGAAAAGTGTAGTACACATCTCACCACGAAAAATGGGGGGACTTAGCGTGCCATGAATAATAGGACGAAAACACACCCACGAAAAAGTTCATTGTCAGTCGATGCTAACAATGAGCCGCGGAGCGAGCGAAGCGAGCGACATTTTTTCCCTTCGTCCCCAGGAGGGAAAAACAGGCTCTCTATATCGGCCAAAGTTGCGCCGCGCGATAAAGGGGCCCCAAAACTTGGTTTCCGGGAAGCCCATTTAGCACACCTTTGGGACCAGAACGAGATCTATAGGGCACCGATAGACGATCTGCTCGCTTCTGAGGAAGAAGAAAACTAGCGCGCTCTTCTCCACCCGTTTTCGTCGTGCTCCGACAGCAGATGTACGTGCTTCACGGCATATGTAGCCAATATTCGAGGAAGATTTTCGAGGAAGATTTTGCTCCCCAACCCCGTGGTTTCTACGCGTAAAGGCGTGCACAAAAGCGGAGATCGCGCGCGCGCGCGATTGAGACCAGGACAAGAAACACCGACAGAGACGCAATAACACAAGAACACCACCAACAAACGCATCACCGCTGAGACTCTAGTCTGGGACCAGCTATGAAAACAAGGAGGGGCCGGGCCTATACGACCTGTGCACCGTAGGCATGCGTCATGTGTAACCTGGCGGGTATTTATTGATGTTGAGTGGGTCCAACCAACTGCTTCAAAAAAGAGCAGACCGATGATCACACAACTAACACACCTCCCCACAAGTCCAGATCACACCTACGTGTACCATCATCTAGAGAATCCGTCGAGGGCGTGAAGGTCTACTACTGCTGCTGCTGTGCGTTATCAGGATGTTTCCCCGCGGGATCGGTTCAGATTGCGTACTTGCGCCCCGCGCTACTGATTGTCTTCTTCGCAAAGAAAGCCGTGACCCTGCATGCTGTTGTTGCTGCTGCTGCAGGGCTGCAGCAGGGCCTCTCGGCCTCTCGCATCGAAGTCATGACGTAACATGCTTTTTGTTGTTTTGGTTCATGCTGGACTGCTTGCTTTCAATCGGGCGGGAAACTCGGAAAGCTTGAGACGAATGTGACGGGCAACCTGTGAGCCTGACGAAATATTTGCCATCTGTCGTGTCACAATCCTATGTCTACGCTGCTGGTCGTTCTCCTCGACGGTGTGATGTGTGATGCGCTCGCCGCCAGGGGGATGCCGCATGTATGTGTGCTTCCTCCAGATGCCCAGATGAGCGTGTTTGCGTCCGCACAGTGGGAATACTTCACATTTTGTTTCTTCGTGCATGTGCGTCAAAAACGGAAAGAAACAACCGCATGTAAAGTGCAAAAGTTTGAACGGTGGCCGCACATGCAATCATCGTCGCTCCCGTCGCACGCCTTCTGTCCCTCTGTGGTGCACGCGGAGCTGCACCACAAACGATTCACGCTGGTGTGCGTCGGGATTCGTGCACCATCAGCATCGCAGATAAGACTCCTGCAAGGTATTGAGTACCACCACGCGGCTCATTACCCCCCCATAGTATTTCCTAGTATCAAAGACACGCCCATTACTGTGACACTCACGTCTTGCCACTCGTCAGTATGAGATGGACGTCGTTTCATTGGCCAGCGGATTGGCGCGGTCGACGACAATACTGCAGACACTCTCTCATACACACATTGGCACTCCCTCACAGGATCCCAAGATCGCGGCCTTTAGTTCCAACCGCCCCGAGACTGAAGTATTTTCATTGGTCAGCCGGTTAGCGCGGTCGGTGCAAACAACAGAGAATACGGCCTTCAGAAGATTCGAGTGTTTTCAACGGCACTAAGACTGACGTATTTTCATTGGTCAGCCGGTTAGCGGGGTTCGATGCTAACAACAAATATCACGGCCTTCAGAAGATTTGTGTGTTCTCAACCACACTGAGACAGGTGCCCTCTCATTGGTCAGCCGGTTAGGTAGCGCGGTCGATGCAAACAAAAGAAACACACACCGAGTGACGTCTTGTCAATGGTCGGCCGGTTAGCGCGGTCGATGCTAAAAACACACACAAACATACACACAAACACACACACACATACACACCTGTTCGCGCCGGTTGCGCTCTGTAGCCGTGACCGAAAGGGACCGTAGGATACCCCTGCGAGCCTCCTCGTCCCCCGGAAGCTCCCTCGCTTGGTCCTCCGTTGTGCCCTCCTAATGGTTTCATTCGATGGAATTTGGCATTTCACCCCGATTCGACGAAGAAAAAAACAAAAAGAAAGAGTGAAGAAACAAAAAATCAGGTGAATGACACGAAATCCTCCGATGTGCTCTCCTAATGGTTTCGTTCCATGAAATTTGGCATTGCGTTCCACCCCGCATCAACAAAGAAAAAAACAAAAAAAATGAAGAGCGCGAGGCAAAACAAGAGTGCGAGTGAAAAAAAAAAAAAATGAAAACTACCAAACCTTCCGCTGCGCCCTCCAATGATTTCATACGATGAAATCGGGCATTCCACCCCGAATCAACAATAGAACCAAACAAAAAACATAGAGCCGGGGGAGAAAAACCAGAGTAGGGAAAAAAAAATAAGTTCAAAACGACGAAATCTTCGGCCGTGTGCCCTCCTATCGATGTTATTTTGATGAAATTTGGAACTTCACCCCCAATCAACAAAGAAACAAAAATGAAGAGCCGTGGGAGAAAAAACAAGAGTGCGAGTGAAAAAAAAAAAAACAGGTGAAAACGACGAAATACTCCGCTGTGCGCTCCGAGATGTCTCAATTGATGAATTTACCCGACTATTCCAAAAGGAAACAGAAACGAAAAAAGGAGCCGTGGGAGAAAAAACAAGAGTGCGAGTGAAAAAAAAAAAATCAGGTGAAAACGACGAAATCCTCCGCTGTGCGCTCCGAGATGTCTCGATTGATGAATTTACCCGACTATCCCAAAAGGAAACAGAAAAAAACGAAAAAAGGGTGGGCGTCGAAGAAAAGAAGAAACGCCAGGCGACCCGTTTCAATTGCCTCCTGTACTGTACGCATGCCATCCCCAACCGAAAAAGGGAAAACCGAGAGCTTGAGTCGAAAACCAAATTGGGGATGAAAAAACGGGAAACAAATGGGACGTACATATATCTACAGACCTCAATCATGTGAATACAACACAAAACAACAGCAGCAGCAGCAACAGCAACAGCAGCAGCAACAACGATGGCGACGAAGAACACAAAAAAAAAAAAAATGGCATGCACAGACCTCAATCATGTGAATCCAACCTAAATGGCAACCTCAACCACAAGACAAACAATGGGATTAATTCACCAACGGCAACCATGTCAACACAACAACAACAAAACCAACAGGAACAACAACAACAACAACAACAACAACAACAACAACAACTACAACAACTACAACAACAACAACCATGACGGCAACGATGGTTCGAAAGAGCACGGAAAGACGGGAGACAGCTGTACAAACCTCGATCTGGCTGTTGATCCAGTGCCGACGCATGCGGCGCATGAAGTGAGCCTGCCTCTTCTTGAGCACGTCCAACGGCTCTGCCCTACGGTGCTCGATGCCCTTAACGTACAGCCTGCGGACCAGTACCATAAGGGAAGCGCGAAGGAGATTATTGAGTGGGGTCACCGGGACATCGGTGTCGAGCGGGGGACGGGGGGGACGGGGGGGACGGAGGGGGGCATGGTACTGTCCATCACTTCAAAGAACCTGAGAGTTGAGATTTCAGGCTCAATGGGCAAATAAGAATTGAAACTTGACCGCATGAAGAGGAAGCTGCTCCGCGTACGAATTCTACGGTAAAACCTACCTTAAGGTTGCGAGTCGGCGCACAGGGGTGCGAACGATTTTCAAAGCGTCATTTCTCCACAACCAGGAGGTTATGTACCACTGTCGAAAAGGGCGGTCTTAGAAATATCTCATCGAGAGCTTTCCTGAGAAGTATGATTTGGCGTTCGCACTCTTTCTAGTTGTGGAGAAATTACGCTTTGAAAATCGATCGCACCCCTTTGCGCTGACTCGCAACCTTGCGGTACTTCATCACTCGATTGGGCACCGGGAACATCAGTCGCTCATCCATCCATCAGCGGCCTGATTTATTTTATTGGGATGCATAGTATAGGAGTGGAGTGGTCCCGATAGAATGCCGGTGCAATCCGGCCGATATCAACGGGCAACCGGCATATTTCAGAGTATGGAACAACTGGAATCTTCCATCCGTGCCACACGCTTCCACCGGCATTATTCCGGGACCACTACCGCTGTACTGCCTTTTCTGCATGTAAGCAAGTACGTGGCGTTTTTCCGGAACATTCACCTCTCGGCCATGGGGAAAATTTACCGCATTTTCCGTGCAAGGGTCCAGCCCACCCAGAACAGTATTTCGCTTCACGGTAAATTTCGTTATGAACCAGGATCACCAAAAATCCCCACAAACGTATTTACTCTAAGCAGGATATCAACGAGCACCTTAGCGTTCGTCGGGTCTCTGCGGGACACGACGCGTCAAGAACTCACTTCTCAGCCATGGGATAATTCCCCGCATTTTCCGCGTACAGTGCCCAGCCCACCCAGAAATGTGCGTGCTTGCCACCGATCCCCTTCTTGTACAGGAACTTGAAGAGATCTTCCGCGTTCGAAAGGTGTGTCGCCTGGAAATAACCATGAAAACGGAACAGCAAAAGTATCAAGGGATGAGAGAGGGTGGGATGGGACGGGACGGTTGTTACGAGTGAACTAAAGACATCTTCCGCGTTCAAAAGGTGTGTCGCCTGGAAATAACCATGAAAACGGAACAGCAAAAGTATCAAGGGATGAGAGAGGGTGGGATGGGACGGGACGGTTGTTACGAGTGAACAAAAGACATCTTCCGCGTTCAAAAGGTGTGTCGCCTGGAAATAACCATGAAAACGGAACGGCAAAAGTATCAAGGGATGAGAGAGGGTGGGATGGGACGGGACGGTTGTTACGAGTGAACAAAAGACATCTTCCGCGTTCAAAAGGTGTGTCGCCTGGAAATAACCATGAAAACGGAACGGCAAAAGTATCAAGGGATGAGAGAGGGTGGGATGGGACGGGACGGTTGTTACGAGTGAACAAAAGACATCTTCCGCGTTCGAAAGGTGTGTCGTCTGGAAATAAAAAATCCAAAACGGAACGGCAAGAGAATCACGGCGTGAGAGAGGGTAGGACTGCACGGGACGGCTCTTGTAGAGTAATTTGAACAGATATCCTGGCAGCAAAAAGAGCCATGGAACCGAAAATGATCTCGGGATGGGATGGGATGGGACGGGACGTTGTAGCCGATAGAGACACACCCACGCGCCGCGCAAGTTCCAAGTGTACACAAGACCATGGACCACTAAAGTAAAACGGAACTCCAACTCACGTAGGCAGTCGACCACCCGTACATACATGTGGCGGATGCCGTCCACACGGGAATCAGCAACAATACATGGAATGGGCACAACAACATGGACCACGGGATACGGAAACTCCACCATGCGAAGGCTGTTGCACACGCACAAGATACCGGATGCCGTACTCTTATCATCGCGGGCATGGGTAACAGCAGCTGTACACGGAATAGACACAAGACCATGGAAACACGGCACTCCAACTCAAGAAGGCTGTCCACGCCCCCAAGCCCGTCATGAGATCATCGCGGGTAACGGAACCAGCGGTACACGGAACGGTCACCGGACCCACGGTAAAGACGGAACTCCCACTCACGTAGGCAGTCCACACCCGGAGATAGCGGATGTCGTCCTTGTACCGCGGGTCGTCCTTGAACTTCCTGGAGCACCGCTCCAGGAGGTCGAATTGCTCCTGAGATTTTACATGTGTGCGCACACACACGAAAGGTCAA